CCTGGCATGTCCGGCACCTGGGATACGTAAGTTATACTTAAAGTCCACCGCAGCAGGGGAGTGTGTATCAATGCTAATGATTGTGCAGTGTCTGGGGATCCAGTCTCGCGTACGTCGACGCTGAGGGCTCGGCAGCGGCTGCTTCCCCGACGGTATTGAAAAACAAGCTCCTGAACGACGACCAGGAGATCGCCATCTTCTCTGACGCGCCGTGCGATTCATCCTGCGGCGCCACCCGTCCTGACTCCGTGGCCTACAGTACGTAGCGAAGTGCCAGACGATCGTGTATTGTATTTGTGTTGGCTTGCTAATTCAGGATCACAGAGGGCTTCGAGGGCTCATCCAAGGTATTCGTCGTCGAGTTCACAATGCCAGACAGCGGTAAGTCCGGCGTGAACATGAACATGCCAGCCTATTGGCTTCTGAACGCCGCGATTCCGCGCACGGCACAATACGCATCATGCAGCTGCTGGAAGGGCGACAACCCGAGTCCTCTACAGGGCGGCTGCGGCGAGCTAGACGTGGTGGAGATCCTCAGCTCGGGCGACACACGCGCGAAGTCGACGTTCCACTTCGCCAACGGCATTGGTGACTCCCACTTCATCGAGCGTCCCGTCTCGGCCCCCATGAAAGTCGCCGTGGTCATGGACGCCGCCGGCTCCGCCGTGTCCATCAAGGTCCTCGATAATTTCGACTTCGCTACCAGCCTTTCCGCCGCGCAGGTTCAGGACATGGTCAACAACGAGCAGGACCCCAGTCTTCTCAGCCTCATGACCTTCGCATAGCTCCAAGCAAAGCAGAAAAGGAGGCCAACAAAAAGTTAAAAGATCTTGTTATTCTTCTGACCTCTCGCTGCATATACGGATCTATGGCGGGAACATCGATCGCGGAAGTTCTTGGACTGAAAAAAATATAAGCGTTACGGATTCTTCTTCTTAAATTAACTTTTTTTTTTGCTGCTGGGATACGATTAAATCGATGATATGATATCTTCTGGGATTAGCAACGCGAATGATTGGGTTAAATAATGAATCTCATGTTTTCCGATTCCATTGTCTCTTTTCTCTTTCGGTACTTTTTAACCTCACTCACGTCATGCTGAATGTTTGGTTTAGTAGATAGGTAGGTATTCTGATCGCTTACCTAGTGCCTGCTTCTACTTTTCTCACGTTGATGACTAGATAAAACTAAGGGACCATTGCGTATTGAGTGTTTACCAAGGGGCCATCATGGAGGGCAAAGTAGATTGTGATGCAAGAGAGTCATAACGACGCCAATCCACGCCGAATGGCGATCCGATCCGTCCTCATCCTGGGACACGGTGATATTACTGCTCTTTCTTTGACGACCTTTGCTAGATATAGGTAGCTAGGGTAGTAGGCAATGGTAAGTGATAGAGTAATTAGTGTAACCAACTTTTGAGCTCCATACGGACGCCGATAATATTGACCTCTTTCGTAATCGATGCCCAACCTAGCGAACCGTACTGTACGTACCTAGATGGAACGCATATCAGCTGCCTCGATAACAATTTTCACTTTAACAGACCTATGTTGTAGCCTCCGAATAGTGTACAATGTGTAGTTCGGCTTGTGAGTAGGTAATCAGTTCGCACAACTGATATCTCCACCAACATCCTGGTACTGTAAAGACGGTGCACGCACAAATTATACAGAGAAATCCAACACGGCCCGCCCGATGACCTGCCCCTTTGACATTCTCTCGAATACAGACTGCAGGTCTTGCATAGCGTAGGTGCGGACGGGGACCTTAGCCACGCCGCGCGCCGCCATATCCAGCGTCTCTACAGCCTCACGTCGGTTCCCGACCGACGATGCCACGATCTTGAGCTGTTGCGCAACTAAAGCTGACGGGTACGCGTTGCTGATGGGAACGAGCTCACCCTCCGGCATGCCGACGCACACCAGGGAACCACCAAACCGAAGCATGGAGAGCGCCTGCCCGTAGGCCTTGTTGCTAGCCGTGCACACTATCACGGCCACAGCGCCGATCCCCGTCAGCCTCTTAACCTCGTCGCCAATGCTTTTGTCGTCAAATGCAGTGAGGTCGATGAAGTGTTCCGCTCCGGACTCCAGGACGGTTTCTTTCTTGTTGGGCATGTCGATGCCGATGATGCGAAAGCCCATCGAGTGGGCACCGAGGCTAGTCGCTATCGAACCGAGGCCACCACCTGCGCCGGAGATGACGACCCACTGCCCTGGCTGCGCACCGCTCTTCTTTAAGGCTGCGTACGTGGTTAAGCCGCCGCAGAGCATTGGTGCAGCGATCTCACCCGGAATATGTTCAGGGACTGGTGTCACATACCTAGAATTCTGGATTAGCTGACGGTTGACCTTATTGCAGCTTCCGCGAAGAAGGTTAATGGGGATCGCAAACAGTCAAGAAACTTACTGAGCAGACCCGATAACGTATTCCTGGAACGTGCCGGGTCTATAGTACCCGCTAATTGTCTGGTTAAAGCAACAGCCCTCTTGACCATCCATACACGGAGCTAAGGAAGAGACTCGAATTAGCTTTTCTCAGGTATCCAATGTCCTGCAGTGCTCAAGATAGTAAACATACGACAAGTTAAACATGCCGACGCAAGCCATTTTATGCCGACGCGATCGCCAATTTTCACACCGGTTTTCTCGGAGCCTGCACCCAGCCTGACTATATGACCAACGCCCTCATGCCCACCTATCTGGCCTGCGGGTGTCTTATGGGGAAGTACTTTCCACTTTGTCACGTTAAGCTAGCGGAACGAATTGATTTATATCATCACAACACATACATTGTTCATCACTTTTGTCGAGTCTCAATTAGTACGTGCTTAAACCATACAGGCTGTGATAGCTGGAAAAGAGCAGGCTTACTTATTCCAAAGTCTGAATGGCAGATTCCCGAATGGGTCAACTTCACCAGGACCTCTCCAGGCCCGGGCTCGGGAGTTGGGACATCCTGGATTGAGATGCTGCAAGTGCCAGGCTTGTCGTAAAGGCAGGCCCTGTGCGTCTTGGGTACGTTGGGAATTGCCTCCGTGGACGACATAGCGAAGGATGATTGATTGATTATCGATGTTAATGTCTCTCGGTTATGTAGCACGGGTTTCAGATGAAAGAATAGAGAGCCATGCTGAAGGGTCAGACTCGAGGTCTAATACCGGTATATACGTGAAAGGACGATTTTATATTGGCATACCTACCTCCCCTACCCCGCCTCAGTGCCAATAAAATGTCCCATGAACTTACTTTAACCCGAGAAAGGCAACAAAGCCAGTCCGTTCGCACGAAGTTGCCTACCATAATTCGGAGCGCGAGGTACAGGGTAGGTCAGGTAGTAGTGTCAACATTTGGGATGGAGACATGAACGAACGCATAGGCAACTTGCAAGAGACGCCTCGGTATTATCCCCGGATGTGCAAGTCTGGCGGGGCAAGAGTACCTAGGTACTAGGTAACTGAGGGGTTACTGGGTACTACTTACTGAGAGCGGCAACACGGTACCTACCTAGGTATACCTACTGGAGGTAGGTAGGTAGGTTAGGCACCTTCTGCACGCAGGTAATTTCCATGTTACCTAACCTACCTGGTTAGGTAGGTACATAATCTTAGTGCAGGTGTGAAGTACTACCTACTTTGGTAAGCTACCTAAGCCACTTCTAATTCATAGCAGCTATGATGACCTATGCAGGTAATCCATACCTAGTAGAGTCCGCACATACGAAGTACCTACCTAACATACCCACCTTAGGTACCTACGTATAGTGTAGGTACCTAGGTAGACAGAGCTCCTAGAGGTGGATACCTAGGTACCTAGGTAGGTAGGTAGGTACTTAGGGTTGGTGCTCTGACCAGCCCTTATCGACAACCGTAGGTACTTACCTACCTAGGTATACGAAGTAAGTACCTAGGTAGGTCGATGGTACGCAGTGCGGACGTAAAGACGGCCGAGACAAAGTTGAAGAGAAAGTGACATCAGTGGCAGTTTCTCCCGATCTTGACAGCGACGGCAATGAAAGCTTCCACCAATGCCTAAGAGCATGATCGACACATGGCATCTATGTCTCTTTATGAGGTATGTAACAAACCTCAGTTCTTCCGACTTGGTGCGTACAGTTGCACGCTGCACATGAGCTGACAATGCTAGCTAGTACACTCTTTACTGAAATACCTACCGGTAGTCACTGCATTCCGTGCCGTCCTTCGTACAGGCGTGGAATACTATAACTAGTACCAAGATATGTTGGAAGCGGGTTCGATTTCAGCCCCAATGGATACCTATATAATCCTTCTGATTAATTACCTACTTCGTATCGTTGACAAACCTATGATACCTACCTAGGTGTCTGCTCCAACCTGTAAATGGATTAGTGATGCCTAGGTGTCTGGTCCAACCTGTATATGGATTGATCCACGACCCAAGGCACCTGCGGAAACTAGGTCTGAACCCTAGGTACTACCTTCGTACCTGAGAGTGTTGTCGGATGACGACCTCATTCAGGCATAGGTTCATCTCCGTAGTTGCAGCTTGCAGCACTTCCCGGGTGCCATTGAGAGGCTATGATCACTTCTCACGTGCTCTGCACAAATTCTGTGGTGGAAAGGACATGCGTCTGGTCATTATGCAGTGAATACCTCCCAGTATCTCCATGGCAAGAATTGATAAGTATCAAGAAACTGAATGGCATCTCGGGTCGGCATTTTGGTACAATCAGACATGCAGCTTTACGTGATTCATCGTATCTGCGTATTGAAATGTATAACGATCGATCATATACGTAAGCGCTTCATTGACTAAAGGATCACTCGGCCGTCTTAATCGATCAAATAAAATATACCAATTCTTTTAAGAAGTGCCCATAATGATGATATGTGAAGCTTCTAGTATGTACCTACATGGTCCTTCCAGTCTCATTTCATACGTTGAGGATGAAGGGGGGCTATTCCTCATAATGGATGCGAGAATATAGGTTAATTTAGATGAGACGGCTTCCAACTCCTCCTGATGGCACAGTTGGTAGCGCGTTGGACTGTAATTGAAATCTTAGAGATCCACAGGTCGTGTGTTCGAGTCACACTCAGGAGAAGTCTACTTTTTGCATTTCCGACTAGGTTACGTCCGTACCTACGGACGTATCTATCTTGTTAATTATGTCAAGGTTGTCTTTTTGCATTCGCTTAGGGGCCGATTCAACTGTCAATTGATTGCGCAACAACAATACCTAGCAATTCTACGTCGTTTCTTATTATATTGCGCGTGCTGAAGCTCAATAATACCTAGGTACAGAGAGAGTCCATCGGCAACGCAAAACAACTTGAGACCATGCATCAAAGATTCCTGGCTCCAGCTTCGAGTATTAACCGGGACCTGCAGGCCGAAAAGCCAACTGAAGTAGGTATTTGAAGGCAGAGTGCCTAAATTCGTATAATCGACGGCGCTGTCTTTTCATTTTCATTTTTATGTCGCTTTCTTCGGCCGACAAACGGCGTAGGTACCTATTTTGAGCGTATTAGCCACCAGCCAGACAATACGGGGTTCTGGCGGTAATGGTGTACCTACACTACACTACCGACACTACAACAGCACGGAATACGGATCCGTACGTTCGGTAGGGTTCACATCACATTGTTGATGCCTACATGACTCGAGAGCGATACCAGTCTCAAATGGGTTTTCTGGGCTCCCCAGGGGCTAACCTTGCATTGTCCGTGAAAACTCTGTCTTCTGGTGGAACTTGCTGGCAGCTGGCGGCAACCTATTGATAAAGGGAGACCAATTCAGCCTTGAGTTTCCCTTTTTGCGTCTTCAACAGCTGGCAGCCAGTCCCTGCAGGAGTCGGTAATCTGAACGAAACAAAGCCCTATAGTAGCCCGACTCGGCTCGACTGACTGGCTGTCGACGATCTCCAGTCTCGTGGCGACTCATGAGAGACGGCGCGCAGCCTTGATTCCTGTGATTTTGAGTTGAGGCCTTGTGCCGTGATCTTCGTTGTTTCGAACACCCTCCTATGTGCGCCAGCACGAACTGCAAACAAGATGCCCAAGCGCTCTGGGCTCATCGCTTCGCGCGCAACTCCACCTACAACATAAGCTGGTGTACGTGACCTAACATTGAATGATGTGATCCAGTCGGTACTACACTACATATATGCTGTGTCCGTCGTACCTTCTGCCGGCTTTACGGGGAATGTGCCACGATTCATCATTCCGACACACCGGATTGTCTCTTCCACCCCCAACGACACCGGTCACCGCCCTTCCGGACTCCGAGGGTGAACCAAGGTCGTTGTCTCAATCCCGCCTCTCGACTACCTAAGCGTCGGAGTCTGAGACCGGTTCGCTGGGGCCTCTTCGCGGGACGCACTTATATTGGGCAAAATATGTCACGGAAATCCTGGGTGTTTGTCTCTCTCGGTGTCTACGCAAGTAGCTCCCGACGGGTGCGGCGCAACAAACAGTCACCACTTTCCCAACTGAGAACGAAGTTGGGACGGATGATGGCTCTTCAGCCTTCCACGTATATAATTTGTTCCGCGACCCTGTCCCCTGTCCCCTGTCCCCTCAAGCTTGAACAAGGCGTAAAGTAGCGTGCCGTGTTCTGCGGGCTCCCGCCGCAGAATGCCGCGCCCGCCAGCCAGGGTTGGAGGCGTGGAATAGCCCGAGGCACGACAGCATGTTTGACGTAGGTAGGTGGGTTCTTGTTTCTAAAAAAGATATCTATTTACACTAGGGCTACGGATTAGATCACCGCTGTTCGAGCAGGTAGGTTGGTACATACGTAGTGTAGGTAAGGCGGTCAGGGATATTGTGCCGAGGATCGAATCGAGCTTTAAAATGGCCATCGGTATGCGCCTTGGTTTCGCATTGAATGGTACGGGAGGGAGCCTTGGACCTGGATTCGGTACCTACCTACATACTCACCTCCTCGCGTTCAATACCACGCCTCATTGTGTGTGTGTCTTACCTAAGTACATTGATCCAGATGCGAACGAGGATGTCGTTATTCAAAAAGACTTCCCCTGTCTACACAACAGCCAGCCAAATCAATACCTAAATCCCACTCAAGCCTACTTGGAGGGATGAATCTTTGCAAAACATCGGATATCGGGAAGGGGAGACAAACAAACCCGCCAAGACGGGTCTTCAAGACAACACTTCCAACTTGACAGCGGCGCCACTTGGTTGGGTACCGTACCTATTCCAAAGGGTTACTACCTACACTACCTACCTACCTACCTACCTAGTACAGTAGGTAGTATTGAGGTGGAGAAGGGCATTTTCCCCCTCTCCCAGGTAAGGCAAGTTAAGGGCGCTGCGTAAGGTACGGTACTTTATTCGTATTATGAAGCAAAGCACACTCTCACACGCACGCTCGCTCGCTCGCACGCACGCGCCGGGATGTCTGCTTTACATACCTAGTAATGTACGGAACCTAGGTAGGTAGGTATGGTGTAGATAGCTACACGCTAGAGGCGCTTGAGTAGTAATACCTACTTACTTATATACGTACAGTATGTAGTGTACGTCTCTCCAAGAGAGCCTGCTTATTACCCTACCTACCTAGGTAGTGTACGTACGGACTATACAAGTTACTATTTCCGTAGGTAGGTAGTCCGTACTTCGTAGATATCTAAGTACTAGGTAGGTAAAGTAGGTAGAGGCATTTTACTTGTTCCTAACTACCTATCCAGAACTCGGTACCTGCGTTCATCTAAGCAGTACCTAGTGTCATCGGAATTTTTCGGCGGATTGAATTAACTGATTGAAGGCTTCAACCAAAGATAGAATCAAATGATGATTGAATCAACGAAAGATACTCAACCCCTTAATCCAGCTCGGTAGGTAAACCCCAATGACTGCCCTGTGACGCTCGAATTTGTCGGCAATACCTACACCTAATAGAATGATGCCGGATTCCTGGGGATTCTTCTGATAAGGAACAACCTATCTATCTATATATATACAAACTTACCTGGTAACCTATGGGTGTATGGATTACCATATTGTATGTGCGGCAAATCGTCTTATCAATCGTTATCACTTCTTAAAACGAACAACGTTTGAGCTAAGGTAGAAAATCCGAGTCGTGGATCGCAGACCAAACCAGGCCCTTGTTTAGTACTTAAGTATTTCCCGTCGTTACCCTATCTCTCTCTAGACTCTTCCTCTTAGACTCTTTACACACGTAACCCTTTCCTCTCGCGGGAGTCTGTCTACCGGTAGGTGGTCTAGCGTCGTTGTTGGTAATTTTTTTTATCGCGTGCTCGCGCGCCCGCCACACACACCTAACAGTACCTACCCGGTACTGTTCTTGGATCTCGTATCCCGGTTTACAATTAGCAAATTCCTTGAGATAATTCCCAGAGAGAGAGAGAGAGAGAGAGAGAGGCGATCTACCTACTTAGTAGGTAAAGCAGATACTTACCTGCCTATTTTGAAAATATAAAATTAATGCCAATGTGCCGAAAATTCCTATAGTAGGTAGTAGGCATTAGGAACTTACTCTACCTACCTCTTAGCTGAGGCTTGAACATAAAGTAGGTTACCAGGTATGTTCATGCAACATGCAGCTACACGCTGAAATAAGTAAGCCCTACAAGTACGTCCGTACCTACAGTGCATGGCCACGATGTACGGTACCCGTACGTATACCTTAACGCTACACCATGCATGCCGAGGCGATGGACATGGAACAGGCGGCGGCCGGTTTTCATTTTCACCCTTAGCCCCGTAGCTGTGTCTCCTTATCTTCAAGCTAAGCTAGGCACGAAGTAATTGCCACCACGACAAAATCGTACTTCGTAAGTCGCGGTACGGATCCGTACCGGTTAGATAGATTGCCTGCATGCTCGCGCGTGTGTGGGCTCTGAGGTAGGTTAGGTGGAGGATGGGGGATCCTCCCCCCATCCCACAAAATTATACCTACTTACATACTTACTTACCTACCTAGCTTACAGTACCTACTTACCTTACTTAAGTCGCCCACAAACATGGTTGTTATCGCGAACCTACCTCATTATTCCGTACTAGTAGCGTTGTAGTGTAGATCGCCGAAGATGCCCGGAAGCCTTCCATTTAAGGACCGCCACGCCCGGCGATTCCGTCGCGAGCTGGCCAGCCCGTTTCTTTTCCATTTTTTTTTCCCAATCTTTAACCATGACTTCGGGCTTGTCCCACTCTCAAGAATCAGCGGGCCACTTTGTCACGGATTTTCAGAGCGTAGTCTAAGAATCATCCCTCCCCCCACCCAGTCTTGAACCCTAGCGATTCCGATAGCTTTCTTTCCCTTCCCGAGCACAATATCCTTTGGTTGGCAACAGACATGGCGTCTGCGGGGACAAAATTTGAGGATAAGTCGAGGAATTGGGATTCCACCGGCACCGATGTCGAGACCGGACAGGTCAGCGATGTTGATACAGGATACGGCGGGGACGCCAGGCAGAGGAAATCTTTGCGAGCCAGGCTTCAGACCCTAGGAGAAAAGTATGGAGTGGAACAGCGAGGAATTGAGAGAGTCCCAGACCATGAGAAGACCGACACTAGCATGACCCAAATCGGCACCATGGTATGTTTCTTTGCAACGCTACGACTATGCTGGCTCTCGTGACTTACCGGCCCTGTACAGTGGCTTTCCGCCAACATGGTCGTCTCGGCCTTTGCTATAGGCGCTCTCAGCATTCCGGTATTTGGCCTTGGGTACGCCGACAGCGCACTGACGATTTTCTTCATCAACGTCCTCGCTACCGCGCCGGTATGCTTTTTCTCGACATTCGGGCCGCTGTTCGGATTGCGCCAGATGGTCCTCTCCCGATTTTTCTTTGGATACTATGGTGTTAAGCTAGGTGAGTTATTTTCTCTCTCGCTTTTTTTTTTTCGGCCCTTTGGAAAGAAGCATGCTGCACGTTAGTTATTGAAACGCTAGCTAATCATATCCTGTGAAATAAAAGTGGCCTGCTTCAACATTCTGGCCTGTATAGGCTGGTCGTCCGTGAATGTGATCGTCGGCTCCCAGCTGCTCCACGCCGTCAACCACGATGTACCGGGCTTTGCGGGCATTCTGGTAATCGCCTTCTCAACACTTTTCAT